AACAATCCTAAAGAAAGATCAGAAAAAATATCCAGAACAATCAGCCTCTGAGGTGGATCAAGTGGGGGGTGATCCTGGCAGTAGCTCCGGGCCCCAGTAAGTCTATACCTTACCAGCAGTGATCTATATGTGTTTATGGATCTAGAGAAAGTTCCTGAATCTCTAGATCATCCCCATCCAATTCAGGATGAAAAAACAAGGTCAAGAGGATGGAAAACAAGGTCCAACAGTATGATTGAGGCAGATACTATCAACAGGATGGTATTCTTACTTTCATCAGGTGTAGATAATAGGGTAACTAAAGCTGTATGGGCATCCTATCTTAGTTTGAAATCAGAATGTTGAAATGGTTCTATGTAACCTACATCCTGCAAGAAACTTCTACAGATGCACCAACAACAGTGTGGTAATATCTCACATGCCTTTAAAGGAAAAGACATCTTACAGTCCTTCAAGACAGCTGAAATAGAAAGATTAGCAGAAAGGAACTGTTTCTCAGGTCTGAGAAACTTTTCCTTCCAATTAGTTTCATCAGCAGGCTGCTTTACAGGCATAACTGAATATAGATTTCTTTTTTTAAATCAACACTTATCTCAGTCACAAGATCACTTATAGCAGTTTCTGCACTTTTCAGCATCTGGTATCATAAATAAGAAATGTGTCATAATGGAGACTAGGAACATTTTAAAATAAATGTAATATTCAGCGATCATATGCCTTTTGCAGATACAGAGCTAAACTGAATGCTGGTCTTCCTTAGGATTTACATTAACACAAATTGATTTTTGTGAATCTGTTTTAGACAGAACACAGAACTGGAACATTGCATGTGGCCAATGACTGGGAGCTATTGTCAAATTCTAGGAACTGTAGACCAAAAAAGTAACTTTCTAAGCTGCAATCTATAATTAGTTTCAGCCCATAAAGCACACCTGCTAAAGTACTATTAGTTTGCATGTAAGGGGAATAGAAGAGATTATTTTGCCAGGGTTGTTTTGATGATATATTCTGTTCGTATGAAACAGTCCTTCCATATAGGTGTTTATTATGATGGTGGTGGTGGTGTTACACTTCTGGCCATCTGGACTTATATTCAGCCAGTTCCCTTGACAGAATCCTTCAATTATTTAATGTCAATTCATAAAAATGCTAACTGTGATTTATAGCCACTGAACATTTGTAGACAACACAGAAGCCTATGTTTTTTCCAGACATATATGGAATAGTTTCGATTTACAGGAAAATTATTTCTAATTTGTTATTTCATTAGGAACTTGAAATATGATGTCAAGCAAAACATACCAGGCAGACAAGACATGGGTAACTAATAAACACAGCCTTTGATTCATGCTAGTTCTTGTTAGTTTTTCACCTCAAGAGAGTTAATCTTATAATATTCTTCAGTGGGAATGGATAGTAAAATATTATTTTCCATTTACTTTAATGGGTTTTTGGATGCATTATTAATATGCAATATATAATGAATAATTGCGTACTTACATCTTTATGCCATGTCTTTTTCTGCTGCACAAGGTTTTCAATAGATTTTAGGCTGAAAGCATAAATTATAGCTATCCAGGGAAGGGTTTGATTGCATATTCTGCTCTTTTCTTTATTATAGTATTGTTTGTAAAAGAAAATAGGCTAGCTCCTTGCGTCTTTGCATCAGTCATAAGCTCCTTTCCTATTATGCATTCATGCTGTAGCTAAAATATTCAAGATTTCAGTCTGAGAACAAGAAAGTTTAAGTTCGATTGGGGAAAAATTCTATATTTGTTGTTTGAGGAAAATTCTGAGAGTGCCTTGGACCACAAGAAGATCATATCAATCCATACTCCAGGAAATGTTTGACTGCTCACTGGAAGGAAGGATATTAGAGGCAAAGATGAAGTACTTTGGCCACATAATGAGAAGACAGGAAAGCCTGGAGAAGATTATGATGCTGGGGAAAATGGAAGGAAAAAGGAAGAGGGGCCGACCAAAGGCAAGATGGATGGATGGTATCCTTGAAGTAACTGGCTTGACCTTGAAGGAGCTGGGGGTGCCCACAGCCAACAGGGAGCTGGTCCATGAGATCACAAAGAGTCGGAAGCGACTGAATGAATAAACAACAAACCTTCAAATCATTTCTGCCTTATGGTAATCCTAAAATGGCCATTTCTCACAGTGTTTTTCTGCCAGGATTTTTCAGAAAAGTTTTTCTACATTTTCCTTGAGTCTGACTCACTTGCCCCAAACCACCCCATAGCTTTTCATGCATGAGACAGCATTTGAAAGCGGGTTTCCTGGAACCCTAGCTTAACACTCAACCCACAACTACACTATGAGGACTCACTATACCATTAGTATTAAAATAAGCAACATATAGCTACCTAGGAGTAATAACCCACAAAGGAAGGCAGCAGCAGGAAAAGAAATCATAATTAAATATGTCATAAAATGGTAAAGAAACATTGCTAAAATATTTATACTTTAACTAAGCAGAATTGCCCATGTGTTCGCTCTTCTTTCTAATAATAACACTAAAACATCAAATCCTGCCTAACAGAAAATTTCCCAAATGAACAAATGCACACAATCTATTGCTTATGGTTATGTTCTGGTAGAACCAGGTGTCCGTTCCAGAAATACGCCCAATTTTATTGGAACAGTGAGGGCCTTGAAGCTTCCCAGTCTCTTGCATCAAATTTATTTTAAAATCTGAACAATGTTGACAACATTTTTATCATTAGGAAAATGGGCGTTCCCAGGCAATGAATTCTGCAGGATTGCATCAGCTTTCAGGCATAGAAGTTGTTGATTCTAGGTATTCATACCACACAGTGTAATACTGAAACATCTGCTCTCATAGACTGGGCTGGTCACAAGGGTATTTCAAAGCAAGAGACAGCTGGCTGCAATCCGGGGCAATAATCTTGCATGCAAAACTCATGTGAATATTGCTATTTGCATCCATTAAATACTATTTGCAAATGTCATCTACTGGTTCCATATTAGTAGGTAGTTAATCCAAACTTTACAAGAGCTATTCAAGATGCTGACCTTCACCTCAATATAAGCCTAGCACCTTGGACAGTTTTGTTAAAGTTCACACTAAAACCTTGAGTGGATTCGCCATCCTGATACCATGGTAGCCTCCAGCCGCCAGTGATTATGGTACTGTTATGGGAGGGAACCATATATAATCCTAGTATTGTGGAGGATAGCAGAAATAATAGGAATATTGCCACATATTTCCAGGTTGGTATTATCTGGTTCAGGAGGTGGCAGATTTGGGATTTTAAATATATACTTTAAGGTTTTTTCCTGGATGAAACTGCAACAAAATACTGTATTTCTTAGACTCTAGGATGTGTTTTCCCCATATAAAAATCTCTGCAAAAGTGCTTCTTAGATTTGCAGGTGGATATATTTATATCTATATTTATATAGCTTTTTCTGTTGGTGGTACTGCACATCTTACAATCATTGTTGTTTTAGAATTGAAGAAATACAGTAATCCTTCCATTGACAAATCAACTCTTTGTTTTCTGCAAACCAGCCTTCTTAATTTTAGTATGAGGGGAAATTAACTTCTGGGCTTTAGCTGCTGATCAAGCCATTGCAAGTTAGAAATTGTTGATCTACAAATCACCTTGATATTTACAGGTAAATCCTGATCACTGCTCATGGATTTTGATTGGCTGAGGTTCTTCTGGCTTGTGGATATCCCTATAGATTCTCTACATAGTCATTGATAATATGGATCTTCAAGCACTATCAATCAGAAAGCAATGCTCACCTATTCTGTTTTTTCACGTTGATTACCATATTTGCTGATTGCATACTGCAATTTAACATGCCAGTGTCTTAAATCAAGAAACAGCTTTCTAAGATCTACAGAGATACTCACAGGAACACCTCAGCAAAGTGAGAGTCCAACACCTCAGCAAGTGAGAGTCCAAAAGTGGTGGGCTAAAACCTGGAACCTCAATCAGTGGCTAATACCAGATGAGAAACTCCCTCCTGGGTACACAGAAGGCTGGGCGACTTGGAAGGTGCTGAACAGATTGCGCTCTCGCACCACGAGATGCAAAGCTAATTTTAAGTAATGGGGCTACAAAGGGGAGTCCACAACATGTGAGTGTGGAGAAAAGCAAACTACAGACCACCTACTACAATGCAGTCTGAGCCTTGCCACATGCACAATGGAGGACCTTCTCACAGTGACACCAGAGGCACTCCAAGTGGCCAGCTTCTGGTCACAGGAAATCTAGCATAATGACATGTTTTTAACTTGGTTTGTGTTCTCTTTTAAATACATTATAACTGTACCCTCAATTCACTTCTGACACAATAAATAATTAAAATATCATATTTGCTTACTAGCATCAAAGAGGTACAATATAGATATCAAATAGTAACACTGTCAGTTCAGTTTCTATTCAACCTTAACACCATGAATGCTTCAAAAAGAAATTTAAATACTGAAGAAATTATTCATAAAAAGTATTTCTGACATTTCTTGAAATATGAACACTCTTGCTCACCCAAGTTAGAAAATAATGTAAAAGCACACATTTATCAATTCAGCCGTCCTGAGTCTATTCTGGGAGAGAGGGCGGGTTAAAAATAAATTATTATTATTATTATTATTATTATTATTATTATTATTATTATTAGTAATATTATAACAGAAACATAGAATAAAATTCTAGAAGAAATGTCTACATTTATTGATAAGGAAGCAGACATTTTAGACATAACTTTGGAAATGGAGGATAACTATGACAAACGTCATTAAAAATGAAAGAAGAGTAGAAGCTTTATGAAATTGGTGCTCAGACAGCTGAGGGATTCCCCTTTGTAGTTAAAAACTTCAACACAGAGAACACTAAAGATAATGTCATGCATCTGCAAAGCCTTGGACTTTAGCTTTAGACGTTTGCTGGAAACTGTTTGATATTATGCCACATGGAAGCCATTAAAATGAGAAATGTGCACAACACAATTTCACTCACCGAGAAGAAAGGCTTGGCTTGCCACTTTTACTACAGCTGGTATAAATTCCTGGGCCATCATCAAAGAAACTTCCAAGTGCCAATTTTTGCCTGATAGACTCTCTCTCATTTTTTTGAGCCTAAATAAAATAAAGAAATTAAAAAAATTAAAAATGCAGAAGTAAACAATTGTCTTCAACCAACTGACAGCAATTCACATTTGAGTCTAAGCAGTACATTCATATTAATCCAGCATGTCAGCATTCACAAAACAGTACTTTAAGATTAACCTAACACGTCAACACACAGCAAGAAATGATTAGAGTACCATTACATTGAATGTCACTCAGAGGGATATTTATTCCACAGTTCCTAACAAATACTGAATATTTGTTGAATTTAAGCCTCTTGACTGTTGTCTTTGAAGTTGATCATGACTGTAAATAATATTTAAAACAAGGGTTTAACCAATATTTAAATCTGTGGCAAGGCACCCTCATCTACAAATTCCTCTAATGAGTCACTTATTTCATGTTTCAATTAGTGGAAGGATGTGTGTGTGTACACATAATTTTAACAATCCAGTAAATAGTGCCATAAAAAAATCACCAACTTTGTACATTTTTAGAATTCCAAAGCTAGTGCCTCAATAATCCTTAGGTTTTCCTTCCTCTCCACACTAGTATGCCCAGCCTTGCCACCATATATATTTTAAGGATTTCTACCATAGCATAAAGAAGAGTTTTTCAAACTGTGCTCCTCCAGATGTTTTAGACTTCAGCTCCCACAATTCCTAACATCTGGTAAGATGGCTGGGATTTCTGGGAGCTGAAATCCACAGAACTTGGAGGAGCAGAGTTTGGGAAACACTGGAATAAAGGATGCTACTGTCCTGTGTGCCCTTGATCTTTTATTTGGTCTTCACCACAAGATGCCACTGTTAGCTGAACATCTTGGGCCCCTTCCGCACAGCTGAATGCAATCCCACATTATCTGCTTTGAACTGGAATATATGGCAATGTGGACTCAGATAATTCAGTTCAAAGCAGATATTGTGGGATTTTCTGCCTTGATATTCTGGGTTATATGGCTGTGTGGAAGGGCCCTTGGTTACACTTTGAAGGAAAATGCAAGTGGCGGCTTGTATAGCTCACAAACAATAAATTCTGACAACCGTTTGGTTTGGAGTCTAGGGTTTTATTCAGAGTAGAAATTCAAGGAGAAAAAAAGAGCTATTTGTGATGTTCATGTTGCCAAGAATTACGCTGGCTTTTAAAGCTGCTGCATCACATTGCAGACTCATGTTCAGATTGTAGCTCACTGTTGAATCTGTTTTATGTATCTAGATATATTTATGATTTCATTTCTATTTAATTTATGATTTATACAAATACCATGGTGAATATAAATAATATAAATAATAATGCTCTGGTGTAGAAACAATGTCAGCCTTGGGTAATTGGATGAAGTTCCTGCTTAGTTTTGTAGTTCATTTGGTGACCTTGGGTTAGTCACAATCTCTTAATGTGCATCTATCTTGTGCTGTTGAAGACTTTCATGGCTGGAATCACTGGGTTGCTACATGGCCATATTCTATATTGTAGAATTAATGCAATTTGACACCACTTTTACTGCCATGGCTCAATGCTATGGAATCCGGGGAGTTGTAGTTCAGTGGGGAATCAGCACTCTTTGGCAGAGAAGGCTAAAACCCTTGTAAAACTACAACTACAATGACTTCATTGCATTGAACCATAGCAATTAAAGTGATGTCAAACTGCATTGATTCTACAAAGTAAATGCACCCTTATGAGGATAATAGTGCAGCACAGGCCCGTAGCCAGGATTTCGATTCGGGGGGGGGGGGGCTGAGTTTGTTTCGGGGTGGGCTGAGTCCGAGTGAAAGAGGGTCTACCCTAGCAAACCTTTTGTATCGTTACCCCAATACCCCCATGCATATGGGATATATTGAGTATGGTGGTCAGATCATGATATGAATAAACATAACTGTTTAAATAATGCACCAGTAAGGCCTTTTCGCGAACCACCATGAGAATTGGGGGGGGGGGGGCTGAAGCCCCCCAAGCCCCCCCCCCCCGGCTACATGCCTGGTGCAGCATGTCTACTATCTCTCTGTGTTTTATATAATATATAAATTGTTTCCTTGTAGTTTCTCAAGTCACTCCTGACATGAAAAAAACCTGTTCCCTTACCTGTGTGATTTTATTTTTAAACCATAAAATTGTCAGTAGTACTTCAGCTTATAGCTGGTCTGATGTTCTTACATGTACAATTGTTAAATTTGTGGTGTTAATACAGTCACAGTTACTCATATGAAGTTTCCTTAACAACATTTATTTGCTCTACAGACTGACATTTTTCAGGGTTTAAAAAATAGTGATATAAATTGGAAACATTTCCAGCAGTATGAAATACATTGAATGGGGATGGTAGTGGGGATCTAATGAGGGGGGTCCTCTGAGTTGTCCTCTATTTTATAGCCATACCTGTGGTAAAGTGAAAACGAATGTACCAGCTTATTAAGTTCAGCAAATCTGTTTTTAAAGCTATTGATTTTTCCTGTGTGATGCAGTTTGTTTGCCTCTGCACTTTTTGAGACAGAAAAGCAATATTTCAAAGGCATGATACATTGCTGAGGATCTTACCTGAAGATGTGAGGGAAAACCTTCAGTTAGCTGCAGCATCTACATGCAGCCACTAATGAATACTACTAATTGCGTTACCGCTCAAAATCACTAGGCAGTATGTTTCATTTAAATGGAAAGGATATTGCAACATCTTTTGGACCAGTTTGGCATCAGTTTCCAAATGTAAATAGGGAGAAATAAAGCATGTTTTCCCTAAGCAGAATTTACACACGGTGGGCATCCCCTGGAGTCTAGGGTTTCAACAACCCTAGATTTTCAACAACTCTAGAGGGCTGCATAGTGTTGACATTTTGGGCAAAAAGATGTCCTCCTCTTGGGATTTCTATTGTTGTCACTATTTAGAATAGAAGATTTCCATCTCTTTCCAAGAATATACAGTGGTTCCACAAAAAGGCAATTTGGTTCTTAAATGGCAAATCTGCCTCAAAAATCATTTTCCAGCATTTTTGAGAAGTGCCAGGGATTGAGGGACTGTGATGGTCCCAAAGGAAACATAATACCAACCCTGCCATAGAGCTCCCACTTTGCTAATTAAGAAGCCTCATAGTTTGATTAACAAACTTTTTCTACTGGCTCGCTGTGAGTTTTCCAGGTGGTATGGCCATGTTCCAGAAGCATTCTCTTCTAACGTTTCACACACATCTATGGCAGGCATCCTCAGAAGTTGTGAGGTCTGTTGGAAATGAGGCAAGTGAGGTTTACACATCTGTGGAATGTCCAGAATGGGAGAAAAAATGCTTGTCTGCTTGAGGCAAGTGTGAATATTGCAGTTGACCAGCTTGATTACCATTTAATGGCCTTGCAACTTCAAAGCCTGGCTGCTTGCTGCTTGGAGGGATCCTTTGTTGGGAGGTATTAGCTGACCCTTATAGATTCTTGTCAGGAATACTCCTTTTTTTAGTATTGCTTTTTTAGTGTTGTTTTCTTTAGTGTTAGAGTTTTTTTAATGCTGGTAGCTAGATTTGTTCATTTTCATAGTTTTCTCCTTTCTGTTGAAGTTGTCCATATGCTTGTGGATTTCAATGTGTAGTCTGACATGGTAGTTGTTAGATGGTCCAGGATTTCTGTGTTCTCAAATAATATGCTATCTCCAGGTTGGTTCATGCTATGGCTGACTTCTCAGGTTGAATTAGTTTGCAATGCCTTTCATGGTCCTTGATTCGTGTGTGGGCAATGCTGCGTTTTCCCTATGCAGACTTGTCCACAGCTGCATGGTATGTGATAGGCTCTACAGAGATGAGATGATCCCTCTTGTCCTTTGATGCATGTAGCAATTGTTGGATTTTCTTAGTGGTCTGTAGAGAGTTTGTAGGTTGTGTTTCTTCATCAACTTCCCTATGCAGTCAGTGGTTCCCTTGATGTATGGTAAGACACCATTCATGTGGGCAAAACGTTAGGAGAGAATGCTTCCAGAACATGGCCATACAGCCTGGAAAACTCACACCAACCCAGCAATTCCGGCTATGAAAGTCTTTGACAAAACTGTTTCTAATTCAGGTCTAAACAGAAATCTCTTGCAACAGTAGTATTTATAACATCTTCATTTGTGATGCTGATAAACCTAGGACGTCTTACAATATGTTTGAGGATTAGCACTGAGCTTTACTGCTAGGTACTTGCAGAACTTTCCTCCAACTAATAAACTCTTGACAAAGTATTATATGGAAGAGAGTTGGTTAGATAAACTATTAGGATAAGTCCTCAAAGGATGGTAATTGTGTGTCTTTGTGGACCAACACAGCATTTATGTTCTGGCCTGAACAAAAGGTGCAAGCAAGTGCCATTCATACACACAAACTTATTAATGCAATCTTCTTGCTAGCTGGTCATGCAAAGAGGGTTGAATATCCAGCTATAACTAACATACTCTAACTGGAGTTTGGGGTCATCTACATGTGTCACAAACAGTAATGGTGAGTCGGGTACTCTGGATAAGTACCAACAGAGTCCACATAGCCAGCTGCTGAACTGGTCTGACCTTTTGGCCTATACTCTTTATTTGTCCTTCCCAGAATGAAAATTTCTGTAGATTCAAGTTCAAAATAACTGGGAGCCCAGAGGTTTCTCGCTCTTGCTTTACAGGAAAGTCTAAAGTACTGGCAAGTGTTAATAACATAAACCCCAAGCCTCCAATATGTTGCTGTAACTGTGCCATGGTTTTGAAGATTATCAGACGCTCACTTTGTTTATGGTCACAGATTAAATGTATGTGTCTAATTTTATGTCCCAGTCCTACCTATATCTACTCAAGGCAACCACATTTTACCTACAATAAAAATAGCACAAGGACCAATTATGTTGTGATTATGATAGTATAAGCAATGCTGCAATGACAGTTAATACTGTAACTAATGGAAAGTAGAAATTGGCATCAAATAGCATCATTATAAAGAGGCAGGCAGAACAAAATCTGTTGGCTGCAGCAAAAATCACAGTGGGAGATCAAAGAGTTATTAGAAAATCATTTGATG